CAGCTCTTTTGTTCGGCGGCAGCCATGTTGGGAGCCTTCCCTCGTGCCCGTGCTGCCGCCGCCGCCTGCATGGGGGGAGGTGTGTTCTGTTGGGTGCTCCTCGGGCTGGCTCTCCGAGGAGGTGGCTGTTAGAGCACATCTGTGATGGAGCCTCAAAATGCTTGTGAGGTTTTTACGTGCTCCCCAGGCGTTTCTGTCAGCCCCCTAATTACTTTTCTGCTACGTTAGCGGGGCCATGAAGTTTTTCTTCCTGCTGCTGTCTTGCAAGCTAAAATTTGAAGTGGGGAGGGGCGATTTTTTTTCATTAGCAGCTTAATTGGCTATTTGAACTTGGATGTAGGAAACAACACTTTATTAAGTGCATTTTGTGCTCTGTTACTTCTCGCTTTGAAACTTGACTACTTCGTCTTGTCTTGCCACGATTAATCATAGCTTGTAAAGCATATCAGTAAAGGATTCGTTTAATTAAACACCTCTTCCCCCCCCCGCCCCCCACCGTGCAAGTGCTTTTGAGGGGTTGAGACAGTAAATTTGAGGCTCTTACTTTCTCAGTCCGTGATTCCCTTATCTCCTCCCTCACACCTTTTGGAAAATATGGCTATAATGATGAAAGTGGCCTTTCTGTGAATATCCCCAGTATTGCATTAATTAAGAGTTTACTTAACCTTTTAGGAGGTTTAGTGCTTCAGGGTTCCCCTTGTCTATCAAATGTTTGTACTTTTATTGTAAGTTAGATACTATGGCTGCTAGTAAAACAACTATAATATGAATGCTTGATTTGTCTTTCTAGGTTTTGTTTTTCCCCACCCCGTCAATTTAATTTTATTCTTTTGAAGATTCTTCGTTGTCAAGCCGCCAAAGTGGAGAGTGCGATTGCAGAAGGGGGTGCTTCTCGTTTCAGGTATTACGCTTTTTTTGTTGTTTTATGAACACTTGGCAGTGGAAACTGTCCTTTAAGGAGAAATTAAATTTATATTCGGTATATATTTATATTTAATATATTTATATATATTAAAACTGACCTGTGGTTGAAAGCACTGGGATTTTGAACTTACATGAGATTACATTGTTGTTTTTAACAGTGCTTCTTCAGGCGGAGGAGGTGGTAGGGGTGCACCTCAGCACTATCCCAAGACTGCCAGCAACAGGTATGTCATCTTGCTTTTTGATTTGGCATGATCTTAAAGACAGAGAACGCTTGATGGTGCATACAGAGTTGAAAATAGAGTAGTTTTAAAGTTGTAAAAGGAATATCTACTGAGTTCACAACATGTTAATGTTCTCCAGCCTGTGGCAGGGTAGCATATAATCTGTTGAAAGTGTCATGAGTGGTACAAGGTGCACAGACTTTTTCATTTGTTTCACTTAGTTTAGAGGGTTTTCTTGTGTGTCTTATTCTTGTTGAGTGACTACTTCACTGTGCAACAGATGTTGCAGTGTTGGTAGGGCAGGGGTATATGTATGCTTTCAACAGAGCTGGTAACAGGATTAGCCTAAGGAAGGCAATAATGGAAGGTTAAAAGGCCAGTTCTTGAAATCGTTGTTTCTGTTTAACAATCACATTCTTAAAAACTTTACAGCGAGTTCCTGGGGAAAACCCCAGGGCAAAACGCTCAGAAATGGATTCCTTCACGAAGCACTAGACGAGATGACGACTCCGCAAATGACAAAGAACGACATGATGCAATCTTCAGGAAAGTAAGAGGGTAAGTTTTTTGTAAGACTTTTTTTTTTTTCTCTCTTTCTTTACTGTTTTCTTCAACAATTTATCTCTCTGAATGGGCTGGAGGAAAGTAAGACATATGTGTGCCTTGAGTTTGGGGTGGGGATGGTGTCCTTTGGAGGGAACGAGGCAGAAACTGATAGGCCAGCAGCAGCAAACACTTGAGAGGTACCTCTTGTGAGAGGATTAGTCTTTTCAATAATACTTTACATTCTAAAGATCTCCCAAAAAAGCAATGGAGTAGAAAATTGCACATTCAGTTTCTCTTAACAGATGGAAGAACTTGGGTCTAAAATTACTAGTAGCGTGCTTACAGTATCTGTAATCTGGGTGTTTATTTTTGTTTGTTCCTCTTTAGCATACTAAATAAGCTTACTCCTGAAAAGTTTGACAAGCTATGCCTTGAGCTCCTCAATGTGGGTGTAGAATCTAAGCTCATCCTAAAAGGGGTCATACTGCTGGTAAGTTTTCTTGCGTATTAAAGAGGTTGACTGTCTTTTATGGGATACAGAAGTAACATGGTTGATGTGGTGTTTGGTAATCCAAACATACAGAAATACCATTTCTGCTTTTTGTGTAAAAAGGGCGTACTGGGGAAGGAGATAGACTTAATACTCTTAACCTTCCATTTTAGAAGTCTCAAGAATCACTAAATGCGATTGAGGGTTTTTTTGTAATGTAAGATGCTAGCTAGCAATCTTACTTCCCTGGCCCCCTCTCTCCTGTTGAACAAGCCTAATGGTCTTGGAAAAGCTACCCCGGGTGACCACTTGGTACACTGATTCAACTATCATGTCGCTTTTGTTTAATCTGAGATCAGATCGGCAATACTGATTTTAGTGTGCTGGTGATAAACTTCAGATTTGTCCCATTCATTGGCTAAGGATTATTGAAGCTCTTTAATATGTACAATAGCTTTTCTCCTTTGTTTCGGCATTAAGACTAGTGTTAAAACATTATTTCTGTATGTTAGATGACACAGCAAAAAAATAGATGTTCTAGATCGCGTAGAGTGGTAATATTCCATTGTGTGTCTTGCACCTCACTTTTCTAATAATGTTTTCATCCTGCTATATGCTAACCTTACTCAAAATAAAATCTATTTAGATCGTAGACAAAGCCCTTGAAGAGCCCAAGTATAGCTCACTGTATGCTCAACTATGTCTGCGACTGGCAGAAGATGCACCCAATTTTGATGGCCCATCAGCAGAGAGTCATCCAGGACAGAAGCAAAGCACAGTGAGTATATCTCTCAATCTGGAATGACAGATTTTGCTAGCATGTATAGTTGCACTGATTAGCTTAATCATTTTCTTTGTTCTTTTTTTGTTAGACATTCAGACGCCTCCTAATATCTAAACTTCAAGATGAATTTGAAAACCGAACCAGAAATGTTGATAGTAAGTGTTAAAACTGTTTTAGTACAGAATTTATTCATATTTTCTTTCAACAGCCTTGTTAAACAGGCTTCTTTGTTTTCCAGTCTATGATAAGCATGATGGTCCCCTCCTCCCCGAGGAGGAGGAACAGAGAGCCATTGCCAAGATCAAGATGCTGGGGAACATCAAATTCATTGGAGAACTTGGCAAGCTTGATCTTATTCATGAATCTATCCTTCATAAGTGCATCAAAACAGTGAGTATTCAGCTTGGGTGGGGGCTGAGAGCAAAATAAGACTTGTAAACAAAAAAATGTAAATGTTTGTGCTGCTTTGGGAGTCTTGAGAGCATAAAAAACCAGAAAAATGTTGCCTGACAACTACCTACCCCCACTGTTTGAAATAAGTAGTCTCAGTGTAATTAAGAAGTAAAACTTGCTTTGTTCAAAGCCATGGGAATTCTTTCGAAGTGAAGATGTAGTTTGACCTAGACAGAAGTACCACAGGTACTTCAAAGTATGTACACTTTCAAGTAGTAAGTACTTCATTTAGTAATTCTTAAAAGCTAATATTAACGTCCATTTGTGTTCAGAGCAAGATAAAATATTTCTGCGTATGTCTGTACGAAGTTATAACTTACTATAAATTGTCATTTATAATATGTTGAAATACCCAGTTCCTCTTTAATATTTCAGCTTTTGGAAAAGAAGAAGAGAGTCCAACTCAAAGATATGGGGGAGGATTTGGAGTGCCTCTGTCAGATAATGAGGACAGTGGGACCTAGATTAGACCATGCAAAAGCCAAGGTATGTGCACATCCACTGCAGTCATTAAACTAAAATCCTATGGCTAAGATTTTAACTGTGGGAATCTTCTGTAGTCAACGTTCTATTCAAAGTACAGAACGAAGGTCTGACTTCAGAGAGCAAGAGTGCAACCATTGCTTCTGCATCAAATCTCTTGATGGCAAAAGGAGACAATCTTTGAAATGGCTTTAAATGTCTTTCCAAAATGTGGTTAGGGTCGTGAGGAAGTCACAAAAGCAAGAATGTTGTTTCTAAATGCTGCTTCAAAAGATGTGGTGAGGAGGTCAATTCCGAACACAACTAGATGATCTGACAGGTTTATTTTGGACCTTGACTTGCGAGTTCTGAATGTAAACTTGAAATGGCGTCATAAGAATATGGGAAGTTTTCATCTTTGACTCAGTAAGATGTTTTGATACATTGGCTTTCGTTAAGCTGTACTGCCATCAAGGAGATTGAGATGGCTGGAAAGGGCAAAAGTGTTCTGTTGTTTGATCTTGGATGTCCTGAATGTGGTCACCCTTCCTGAAAATACTCAAGACATTGATAGAGTAAGCCCTCACTTGTAACATCACTTTTGTTCCCCCAGTCCTTAATGGATCAGTACTTTGCCCGTATGCGCTCCTTGATGTCAAGTAAGGAATTGCCAGCAAGGATTCGTTTCCTGCTGCAGGTATGATGATAAAATGGCTTACTGATTTTTTTTTTTCACTGAGTTGTCTTGAATCCTTTCCTAATAATTAATTATTATCCAAGGATACTGTGGAGTTGAGAGAACACAACTGGGTTCCTCGCAAAGCTTTTCTTGACAATGGACCAAAGACTATCAATCAAATCCGTCAAGATGCAGTAAAAGTAAGTGTTGCACGTAAGTCTTGTGCTTGACTTTTGCTGTTTATTCACAAAACCGATGCTGTGCACCTACAAGTGGTACTCATAGTAGAGTGTGACAGTAAGGGGTTAAGGGTTAAAATCAGATGGAGTTCTATAGTTCAGGGCTAAAAACTTGACTTCGGCAGGGACTATTACTCGCAACTGACCAAAATGGTAATTTATGTTTTAAAGGATCTGGGAGTTTTTATTCCTGCTCCTTTGTCTCAAGGGATGAGAAGTGACTTCTTTCTGGAGGGACCCTTTATGCCACCCAGGATGAAACTTGACAGGGACCCACTCGGAGGGCTTGCTGATATGTTTGGACAAATGCCAGGTACACTGAAACTGCAAGGCTGATGTGGTGACTGTGGCTGTACTGTATTGAACAAGAACTAGAATTGTCTTTTATCTCACTAATACAGGTAGCGGAATTGGTACTGGTCCAGGGGTTATTCAGGATAGATTTTCACCCACCATGGGACGCCATCGTTCAAACCAACTTTTCAATGGCCATGGGGGTCACCTCATGCCTTCTGCTCAATCCCAGTTTGGAGAACTAGGCAAATCTTTTCTGAAAAGTCAGGTAAGGAAGATGTTGTTCATAGGGTGACTTAAGCATGTTTAGAAGCTCTTCTACAGATGCGTATGTTATGGATTATAGTCTGCATATGTTGAAAGACTTCGTAAGATTTGATTCTGATAAGAACTGATCCTCAGCTGATACAAAAATTCTAAACCACTTCTTGAACTGTGCAAGAGATGCAAGGAATACACTTTTTTTACTGCAAGAAGAGGTGCATGTGGCTTTGGTGGGTCAGAATGGTGTGTTTTATTTGACAGGTAGCCCTGTTCTTAGGGATAGATGCTATTCTCCCACCACCCTTGCTCCTTCTTTCTCCCTTCCTGGCAGATAGTCTTTGTTCCTCTGGTCCCTCTGGTACTACTTACCATATGATGTACGCCACTCCATCATCTGCACTTCTTTCTCTATATCTCCCTTTCTGAAATAGGGGCAAAGCCAGCTCTACCATAACCAGAATCAGGGACTCTTATCCCAGCAACAAGGACAGTCGAAGGATATGCCACCTCGGTTTTCTAAGAAAGGACAGCTTAATGCAGATGAGGTACATTACATGCCTACATTACTTAAAGCTTATACTAAATATTGCCCAATGATTATAGCAAGACGCGTTATTATGAGGACTAATGCTGGAACTCTTTCTCCTTCTACTCCTCCTCCTTTGTCCCTTCCTCTTTCACCTTACCCGTCCCTTTCCTTAGGGTATCCAGCGTCCTATGAGCAAGACTGAGATATGAGGGCAATTTCTTGGGGTATCCCTTCCTTCCCCCACACCTCCAAGAACACTACTCTGACATCAGTTCCCATGCATCATACTGATAGCAATACATTTAATAAAGCTCAGGACTTTCTGAAATTTTTAGAAACCCTGAAGTGCTGGACCAGGCTAATTTTTTTTTTTTTTTTTTTTTTTTTAGAACTGGCTAATAGGCAAAAATGTCAAATGCAAAGTAAACTGCATTGTTACTTTGAGTCTTAACTAGAGTTTTGTCCTGATTTCTGACCAATTGGTAGAGTTTTATCTTGGCTGTAAAATATATCAGCAAAAGTTAAGTATCTTCTTGGGTCTCTAACATACTGCATCTAAAAGGAGCAATTCCAGATTCTGATACCAATAGAACTAAACACCAGTAACTTCCAATAAGTTGTGAATCACTGAGGTGTGCTTTTGGGGGAATTTCGGTACACGTGTGGCTTGCTCTGTATTTGAGTGTAACATTGTAGAAACAGAAAAGTCATGCCTCAGTGGGATTAGTTTGTGTGCGTCCATGGCTGTGTATTCTTGGTCAGAATACTTGAAACCGTTGAGTTTTTTTCTGACTTACCTGTTTACAGATTAGCCTGAGACCTGCTCAGTCTTTTCTAATGAATAAAAACCAAGTGCCAAAGCTTCAGCCCCAGATAACTATGATTCCTCCCAGTGCTCAACCACCACGCACTCAGACGCCACCGTTGGGACAGGTAAATACAAAAATAGCTGTATGGTGTTGGCTATACTTAATTTCTTCATGCATGTAAAACACTAGTTTCTAATATGGGAAGGGAGAGAGGAGAGGTGTTGTCTTTGCACAGAGGAGGATATACAAAAAGAATGTAGGAAAACCTAATTTGACTTTCATCTACTTTTGTACGTATTTAGTGGTCTTGATATAAGTGTAGGTAGATGTACTGCAGAGAAATTCTGGTATCTTTTTCAGCCTCCTCAACTTGGTCTTAAAACAAATCCACCACTTATACAAGAAAAGCCTGCAAAGACCACCAAGAAACCACCTCCTTCTAAAGAAGAGCTGCTTAAACAAACTGTAAGTTAAGTATGTAATAGTGCTTCTTGAAGCCTTGTACATGCTCTTTAAAAATGAACGCTTGTGTAACTATACCTTTTTCCCCCCCTCTAGGAAGCCGTTGTGACTGAGTATCTGAACAATGGAAATGCTAATGATGCTGTCAGTACTGTGAGAGAAATGAGAGCTCCGAAACACTTTATTCCTGAGATGTTGAGCAAAGTAATAATTCAATCCCTAGATAGATCAGATGAAGACAAAGAGAAAGCAAGTACTTTGATTAGCTTGCTCAAGCAGGAGGGAATAGCCACAAGTGACAACTTCATGCAGGTACTGCAGTTTAATAGGTTCACAGTCTTTGTTGCTTGGCTTTTCACGGTGTTTAGCTTGCGTAAAAGCAGTGTGCAAATTCTTTCAAGTCCTGTTCATCTGAGGAGGTAAAAAGCAGAAACCTGTCACAGGCATAAGAATTTATTAAAGGAAGAAATGTAGGTACAGGATTTCAGGAACTGGAAATGGGGAACCTCTTGGCATTCAGTGCAGAAAAGAAAAATGAGACTTGTATGTAGTGTGAGTATTACTGTGCACAACAACAAAAATACTTCAGATTTCAACTTGCATCCTTACTGTTTCTTAGGCATTCAAAAAAATTGGACCAGTGCCCTAAACTGGAGGTGGACATCCCATTGGTGAAATCTTACTTAGCACAGTTTGCAGCCCGTGCCATTATTTCAGAACTGGTGAGCATTTCCGAACTGGCTCAACCACTAGAAAGCGGCACCCATTTCCCTCTCTTCTTGCTTTGTCTTCAGCAGTTAGCTAAGTTACAAGATCGTGAATGGCTAACAGAATTGTTCCAACAAAGCAAAGTGAATATGCAGAAAATGTTACCAGGTAAGAATAACAATGTAGCTGTTACGACACCTGTATGTAAGTGTATGCAAGATGTGGTTTTGTTGATTTTTTTTTTTTTTTTTTTTACACTGGAGTAAAATAACGTACAAGGTTATTTTGATGCAGTCAGCTGTTGTGATTCTGAAGAGTGGTGTTTCATAAGAGGTGGTTAGACTGATGAACCATTGAGTGTGTCTGTCTTGTTTGTCAGAAATTGACCAGAACAAGGACCGCATGCTGGAGATCTTGGAAGGGAAGGGGCTTAGCTTCTTGTTCCCACTTCTGAAACTGGAGAAGGAACTGCTAAAGCAAATAAAATTGGATCCATCCCCTCAAGCCATCTATAAGTGGATTAAAGATAACATTTCACCCAAACTTCATGTAGATAAGGGATTTGTGAATATATTGATGACCAGGTGAGATGCTGTGTTTATGTAGTTTAGGCATATGTTTTGTTAACCTACCAATAAGTTACTAATTCTGAAAAGGCTGACGTGTGAGCTCTATGCAGAGAGTGAACAGGGAGAGAACTTGTTCTGAGCAGACCTCCCATGTATTAGACACCCGTTGTATTTGAGAAGTAAAGCCAAGTTTTCAGGCTTGCATCAGTGTGAAGTGTTGCTTTTCCTTGAGAAGAAGTCTAGACCTGTGTACTTTCTCTAAAATGTTTCAGAGCAGTAACAAGCAAAACCAGGATTTTTGTGGTGCAGTCAACCACAATACTAATCCATTGTGCATGTACCTAACTGCTTATATGCTTATATAAGCAGGGAGGATATTTTTAGTAATAGCAAACTGAACTTGAGAGTAAGTACTCGTCTTAATGTTTTAGAACACTAAATCTAGTTGCTATGTCAGTTTACAGAACTGACCTGGTATGGTTTTTTGTCTAGTTTCTTGCAGTATATTTCTAGTGAAGTAAACCCACCTAGTGACGAATCGGATTCTTCATCTGCTCCATCTAAAGAGCAGCTAGAGCAGGAAAAACAACTGCTTCTTTCCTTCAAGCCGGTAATGCAGAAGTTCCTCCATGACCACGTTGATCTGCAAGTGAGTGCTTTATATGCACTCCAGGTGCACTGCTACAACAATAACTTTCCAAAAGGTATGTGCATCAAGATAGTATCCAACATCTGTGTCTGCTTACTGGTGTCTGCATAATGGCTTCCAGGCTTGTCACTACATTTCTTAGTCAGGTAAGCTGTCAGAAGGTGGTAAGGCTAATGAAGTTTAAACTTACTTCCATAGGCATGTTACTGCGCTTCTTTGTTCATTTCTATGACATGGAGATCATTGAAGAAGAAGCCTTCTTGGCATGGAAAGAAGATATTACTCAAGAGTTTCCAGGGAAAGGCAAAGCTTTATTCCAGGTAAATTTGCTAACGTTGGAGTAGAGATTTGTGTTCTATCTCTGCTACACTGTAGTGTTTGAGAACACTTTCAGACAGTGCTTTTTAAGACTTGTTAATATGTGGAAACTTCATGGGAGTACTTCAAGATGAACTAAGTTGTTTTGTTCTGTTTTTTCTTTGCTGGAGACTTACATGTAGTGCAAAGCGGGGCTGAAAGATTTTTAAAATTAGTTGGGGGAATAAATTCTGCTGCCTTAAACCAGTTTTATGTAACTGCAGGTAAACCAATGGCTAACCTGGCTGGAAACTGCTGAAGAAGAAGAATCTGAAGAAGAAGCTGATTAAAGAACCAGCCAAAGCCTTAAATTGTGCAAACATACTGTTGCTATGATGTAACTGCATTTGACCTAACCACTGCGAAAATTCATTCCGCTGTAATGTTTCACAATATTTAAAGCAGAAGTATGTCAATAGGATATCCTCTGCAAAAGGTTTTTGTAGTATGTCTTAATAGTCTACAATAAAAATATTTTAGAGTATCTTTAATGTTTAGATAACAGTGTATTAGCAGCATGCAATAATTACATCATAAGTTCTTGAGCAGAAGCAGTCTGTTGCAAGGGTCTTCTTTGCTGCCAGTTATCATAGGCTGTTTTTAAGTTAGAAAACTGAATAGCAACACTGAATACTGTAGAAATGCACTTTGCTCAGTGTAATACTTGAGTTGTTGCAATATTTGATTATCCATTTGGTTGTCACAGAGAATCCTTAACTGTAATCGATGGTTGTTGCCGTAATAGTATATTGCCTGTATTTCTACCTCTAGTAATGGGCTTTATGTGCTAGGTTTTAATACCCTTGAGCCTGGGCAAGTGCACAAGTCTTTTTAAAAGAAATAGTTACTTGCACGAAAACTGATCAGCTGAAGAGAGGTTTAATGCCCTTTGGAAGAGGTCTTTGTGGGTGTGAAACATGACATGGTGAGAAATCTGAATTGGTCCCTCTGTAGTACTGAAATTAAATCTACTTAATTTATCAAGACATGTTCATGCCCTGATTTTATATACTTGTATCTATCAATAAACATTGTGATACTTGACTTGTTCCTGAATGTCTCACAGTAGATAAGTTTTGAGTGACAACTAGTTTACTTCTGAAAGGAAACCTCACTGGAAGCTGACAGACTGGGACCATCTTAAGATTCTTTTTATAATAGTGTTAATAGGTAAATGAATTCTAGATAAGGTCACAGACAGAATTACACACTACAGATCTGCTGTGGTAGGAGAAAAATGAAATTCTGCTGAAGAATAGTAGGTGTTAGCTGTGTGGTCCAATGTATGCTTTATCAGTGAGTGCTTTTTACCTTCCCAATGCTTTGAACTTTCTGCAGGTCACATGCATGTTTTTTAATCAAATAGCACTGTTAGCTGCCTGTTTCTCAGATTGGCAAAAAAACCCCTGCAAAACAGTTGAATGATGTTGCATTGTACAGGCTTGAAATGTCATTCATTAAATATTCAAAATACCTTACTTCCTAGAGCTTTGTCCATAGTGGAATTTGTTTTTTACTTGATTACTCAGACTTCCACTGTTGAAAGATGTGTATTTGTAATGTCAAAACAACAGTGTCTCCTTGACTGAAACTTACTTTTGCCAGTGGTGGAAGTGTTTTAGGCTACATGCTGTCTTCTGCATGGTGGGAGATGAAATCAAGTGGAGTACAAGAAAACTACTGGGGATCAATCAGAACAGGGCTTGCCTTGAGGGGGGAAGGATAGTTGCGTTTATGCACTTGAAAGTGCTCTGATGAGGGGGATGGGTCTGGCTCTCTCATGTTCTCTCACAGGGCAGGCTTCCTCACTTCCAGTTACGAGCAGCGGCCTCTCCTATACATGCAAGTTAGGCTCATTCAGTAAGTTTCTTCAGATGCTGCAGTAATGTACTGCACAGTGTGTAGCCCAGTAAAACAAGGTAATGTTCTCCTGTAAACCAAATAGCATTAATAAAAGGCATTTAACTTCTTGAACTGATGACCAAAATTCCACGATGCTCGCATGCTGTGTGTACGGTTCAGAAATGTGTATCAAGCAGTAAACAGGAGAGCAGGATCTTGCTGTGAATTCTAGCTCAATTGAGAAAAAGTACCAATGCATAAAGGCAATAGAAGACGGAGGTGCAAGTAAATTCCTTGTCAAAACTTCAGGGGAATAGAAGCAGAACCTGCAGCTAATGTTTTTGCTGAAGTTAATGGAGCAGGTTAAGCTGGCAGCTGGAGATTGTTCAAATAGCATAATGAAGCCTTGTATTCTTGCCCAGTCTAAAACAGAATTAGTGTGATCTTCAGTACTTGTGCATGGAGGTTTTGCTCCTTGGTTTGTAACTATTCACTGAGTTAGGAACTCTTATTAAGAAGAGTAAAACTGTAAGAAACAACCAGAAATGTGGACTAGAGCATACACAGTAGAAAATACTACTAAACTGTAGAATTTCCATTATGAGATACTCAAAGTTTGTGTTGAACAGACCTAGTTTTTTTACTGTAAACAGCTCCTAACTGCAGTGTATATGTGAAAGTGGTGTTCCTAGAGATTAGGAGAGTGAGCATCTAAACTTGATACTCAGCTGCTTGTTTTTAGTGCTTGACTGCAGTGCTTGTGATGATCTCAGTCTGCAAGAGGGGATGGGTGTTCAGCTGGTCTAACAGGTGTGGCTTTTAACTATGAGTTACACTGTACTTCAGATATAAATGCAGTGTACTCAATTCTAAAGTCACAGTCAAACCAATATGACTGATCAATGATAATGGCTTTTATTAGTATTAATTTTGTTAAATGTTAGGTATAGCATAACTGCATTCACAGGAGGACTGGGGGAAAATTGCACATTAAACATATTTCATACCTATTGTAGTCACGAAGTTTACCTTCTGAAATGCTGGTTGCAGTTAGCATTCAGGAAATTTGACTTCCATATATTGGAGTTGCCTGGTGTGCTTGGCAGCATGTCTGTTTAAATGATCTGATCCACATCAGCTGCAAAGGTTCCTGCAAGAGAAGTTAGGGATTGGTTATTGAAAATGATACTTGCCTTTTCTGAGAAAGAAGTGTAATAGTTGGACTGCTGTTCATTGTCACTGTATCAGTAGACTAAGACTAGATCTCTTTTCAAGCTGCAGTTATCCATGGTGCTTAGTTACATTAAATTTGGGTATTTCAGGAAAGTGCTCAAAAGTCAAGAGTCAGAACTGCACAGGCATTATTTTTCTTGGGCGAAATTGCAGGAAGAAGCCTTGGGGGGGGGTGCAGGGGAGGAGGTTGGTTACAGAAAATTTCTGTGAGTGTGACTTAGCTGACCTGCTTTTTAAGCAGATGGGAGCTTCCACCTGAATCCTACTTGAATTTGGAGCTTTTTTTCCTCAGTAGTGAATAAATACAAATGATAAGTGAATAAATACAAATTTCAGAATAGCCTTGAATAATAGTTGCTGTAAACTTTTCGAATGCATCTGAAATGTGAAGTACCGTAGTTTACATTGCAATCCAGGCTAGCAGCTGTTTATAGAGTTTATGCTTATTCTCTAAAATCAGTTCACAGAGAACTAGTGCAGCAAAGTGGAGAGCTTACTCTTAGAAGTATTTGGAGAGACCTATGTTTATTAACTGTTGCTTGCTACAATACACCACTGCTTATCTAAGGTCTTAACTGTGGCAAACAAGTGTGTTGGTGTGTCCTTGTCCTGCATGCAAGGGGTTGGGAGTATGTGGCACTGTTGATGTCACAAGTATTCCCCTAACCTGGAATAAATCAGGAGGAGATCGATGCTTTCAAAGTTGATGAATAGCAATAGTGTGACTTCTATAATTCCCTGCATTCTTGTCTGTTCCACCTGGGGAACTGGTGTGGGGCTGTTCCAGGAGTTACCTGCAACTGTTCTGTGTCTGGCCACGGTTAACACCTGGAGGGATGCGTGGGGCACGGTACTGTACTGAAGTAGGGAAGCAGGTGTGATAATGGAGGGTGTTTTGGGGGGAGAATAAAGGAGCAATAAATGCTTGGCACCCTCCTGGAAGGAGGTGGCAGGTTCCAGAAGAAAAGGAGGGTGGTGATGTATCCCAACTTATGTTGAAATAAAGAATTGTTGAGGCATAAGTACACTGGTAAAACAGGGCCTGGGCTCGAGTATTTTTTGAATATTCTCACCATGAGAGACCCATGTATTTTGAAGAGTTGCTTAAGTAATTATTTGCATTGAATACAAACCAAGGCAGTGACTTCATGCAATTAATGGTTTGAACAAATACGGAAAACTGAAACTGGGCTGTGAGACTAGTGACAGAGTACGTGAAGGTGTTGCACAAAGATAATTATCAAATACACTTGTGTGAAGCTACTTTTTCCCTCACCTCATATAAATTGCTGTATCTTCTTGTGACTTTATCATTGCTGCTTTTTATCTTGAATGATGTTGGCCAAAGACCAGAAGTATTCAGCAGTTGGCTTGCCTCTGCAGGCAGATACGGTCTCAGTTCAGGAGGACAAAGTCTGCTTACAGGCACATCTGTAACCTGGTACAGTTACGTTGTATCGTGAAAAGCAAAACAGAAATAACCATATGCAGCTGAGACTGAAGCTGCTCACTGTAATATGGAAGGAAGAGAATTGTACAGGAGGTTATAGTTGCAGATATGGGGGTTTAATAGAACTCGGAATAGTAATTTAAAGGAGAGTATATCAATATGGCTTTGAGATTTCTGTGGCATTCTGCATCTGCTTCTGGAACAAGCAAGACAAGACCTCCAAAGAAAGCTTGCCATTGCTTCAGAAATAGCTGCATGGAAAAACTTTGCTCTCAATTAAGACACAAAGCAGTTACAGTATCTCCCTGGATCCACTCCCATCCAGGTGTTACAGAATAAGCCTCACATGTAAATGACATAGAGTTCTCTGGAACAAAATCAGGCCTTTACCTCTGAGGTTTGGGGACTGAGTGACACTCGTCAGGTAGAAGGGGTTCCTTCTGTGGGTTGGCTTTTGATGTGGTGATGATAGAAGTGATACAGGCTCATCTGGATTCATTTTGTAGAACCCACATCCATCTCCTTTAGCACATTCCATGCAGCTGGTTGTTGGAGACACTAGTGAAATGTTATTTTTAATGAGTTGACTAAGAAGCTATGACAACAGAGTTAACTTGGCATAAATACATGGCTGGAGTGAGGAAAGCAACATTCAGGGTTTTTTTGTTAGCAGTGAAAATGCCCGAGGTATGTGTGAGGTATTCCCAGAATTTTGTTATCTAAGAAACTTTGCGAAACATTTAAGTTTGTGAAAGGAAAAGGGACTGTTAGTTGGTTTGATAAAGTATGTGGAGAATGAAGAGTATAGAATTTGTTGTTACAAAACAGATGTTTTTGGTAGGACAGTGAAATTTGAGAAATGAACCGTAAGTTAGCAAGAACATCAGAGTTAAAACTGAAATACAGGTGAATGATTTGCATTTCTTTGGTGGTTTTATTTAACCCTTTAAGGAATGATTGCGTATTCTCTCAGACTTCAGAGACAGTTGAAGATTTAATCACTTTAGAGTGTGGAATACTGGCTGACTGGCCTTTCTCACAGAGGGATCGTGTAGATTTGACTTAAATATTCAAAACAATACCAAATTACACCACAGTTAAGAGTTCACTGCAGTAGAGGCTTGCTTTGCTTCTGCTGTTAGCCAGGGCTAGTACTGTCATTTGCATCAGCTCAGAGACCCATGGTATGATCAGATACTTGAAAATATATTTAATTGGAATTGGTCTCCTCATTTTTCCTATATATTAGTCAAATTATAAACCCAAAGTCTAATATACTTTTGTGCTGTGAATTTACAGTCTGAGGAAATGAACTTTGCAGATTCCTGTGATACTACAGTGCCATTATGATTCAGCAATAGGGTGACATCATATATATGAAGTCTGGAGAATCAATTCACAGCTGCTCCTTCAGAAAACAGTTGCTCTCCGCAGCAAAGTAATAAACAGAGGGCCAAGCACGCACATTCAGCCATCTCTGCATTCCTTCCAAGCCAGATGCATAAAGCAGGGCCTTGGG